ACTGCTGTAGCTGAACCCAGGACACACTTCTATTAGCAATGTCTTCCATAGCCATACAGGATTTTCACTTGCCTCTCACAACAGTTGCCTTTTTATGACGATGATTTGTGTTTCTAAATGCTCACAATAGTTAAAAGCTTTTCATAAAACATTTTGTTACGTCTCAGTGTACAGACAGAGCTTTGAGCAACTTCTTAACATATCATACTTCTAAGAAAAGACATGATGTTTTTGAATCAGATATCATATGCTTGTTTACTACTTTTTGCTAGTTCCAAGCTTAAAGAAGTTATCTCATTGTAATGGTATTGCTGTCGCTTGTGAAAGTGACTTAGCTGGAAATGAACAAGATAAATTTTAGTCAGTAGAGAAAAGCTAGAACTATTTCTTAAGGATTCATAGAGCACCATATGTTTTTGGCAGTCAAAAACATTTCTAAAAGCTCAAGATCATGTTATAAAAGTGAAGATCTCAAAATAACAACTATATTTTAATTCGAGCATGATTTCTGTTTTTAATTATGTTCCACAAAAAAAAATCTCCGAAAAATATTATCAGTAAAAAAATAGACTAACTTTTTATTGATAAGAAAAAACAGATTTTAAAATTACTGTCACACAGTCAATTGTAACTGTGGAACTGGCACTGCCACTTGCTATATTACTCACATACCAAAGCTCATGTTAGTTCCACTTATTTATCTTAATCTGCAAGGAAGCCAAGAACAGAAGGCAGCACAGGATAAATTCATCAACAGTAACCATGAAGTATATGCTGCCACTAACTCCTCATCATCATGAAGAACACCACTGCTGAAGCAATGGAGCTTGCAAAGCACAACGAAGACATCAGATGCACCATTTCCATGGATTGTCATGGTTCAAGCCCAACCGGCAACTTGGAACCACGCAGCCCCTCACTCACTCCCCCCACCGCTTCCTACCTTCCCCTGCTCCCGGAGGGATAGGGAGGGGAATCGGAGGAATGTAACTCCCACAGGTTGAGGTAAGAGCAGTTCAGTAACTAAGATATAATACAAACCACTACTGCTACCAATAATAATGATAAGAGGAATAACAAGGAGAGAGGACACAACCGCTCATCACCTGCCAACTGATACCCAGCCCGACCCGAGCAGCGATCTGGGCCTTCCAGGTAGCTCTCCCCAGTTTATATGCATGGATACATTTACATCTTAACAGATCTCACATTTGACACCAAACCAGTTAAGTTGCCTGTCTCTCCATTACAGAATGTAGACTTCTGACTTTTTTCCAGAGTCAACATATATACAGTGATATATCCAGAATCTAATGATGCTACTAACAGAATCTATCTGAACTGATTTCTTTCTTCACATAAAGCAAGGTGGTCATGTTAGGTGTTCCAATGCCATCACTGGAGATTTATATTCTCTTAACAGTTTCTAACACTCATGGATTCTATAATTATCTTATAGACTAGATATTTACCTTATCAGAAAAGAAGTATATTCACAATCAGACTTGACACATTCTCAAAAGATCCTGTTACCAGTTGTACATATGTACTGGATGTGGTTGGGATGGAGTTAATTTTCTCCATGTTGCCAAAACAATGCTGATAACACACCAGTGTTTTGGCTATTGCTTAACTGTGCTTACACAGCATCAAGACCTCTGTTTCTCACACTGTCCAGTCAGCAAGTAGGCTGAGGTGGGCAAGAGTCTGGGAGGGGATACAACTGGTACAGCTGACTCCAACTGACCAAAAGGATACTCTATACCATAGAATCATAGAATGGTTTGGGTTGGAAGGGACATTTAAAGATTGTTTAACTACGCTGATAACACCATGCTCAGCAATAAAATTGGAGGGAAGTTTCTCCAAAGTAGCCATTGCTCAGAGACTGTCTGGGCATGTCTGCTGTTGGTGAGCAATTGCTTTGGTATGATTTGTTTCTTTTTCTTTTTTTCCTTCATTTATTAAACAATCTATTAAATTAAATAATAAACTAAATAACAATCTAAACTAAACTAAATAATTTATTAAATGATCAAGACCCCTTTTCTTTGTTCTCTTTTACCCTTCCCGCCCCAACTTGCTGGGAAATGTACACTTGCATTTTTCTAACTGATCACAACTAATGACTCACAAGAAAACCACAGGACACTACAAGCACAATTCAGTGACACCCTTAAAAGCAAGTTTAATAGTAATATGTCAGTGGTAAACATTTATGGAAAAGTTTATTTTTCCACTGAAGAGTAAAACGTATTACCAGCTGGGTAGATTCAAAACAAGTGATTTTCTTAGATGTCACGTAATAATAGTTATGTGACAGCAGTACAGATCAAGACAAACATCACCTGTTTATCAATGGCAGCTTCCAGTTCAGGATAGCCTACTTTATCAAGCCGGATATCTGGAAACAAATCTTCAATTAGACTCAGGAATAAAGGTTCGTCTTCATCAATCTAGTGAAAAACAGGGGGAGGAACAGAGATTAAAAACTATTCCATTTATTCTAGCATGCTAAAAAAAAAAAATCCCAAACTCTACCAAAGCTAAAGAAATACTTGAAAATGCAAGAAACAGTCTACGGTAACGCCCTAGGTGCTAAACACCTAGCAGGAAATGTGATGCTTCCAGTAATCAAAACTTACTGAAAATAAACCACTGGCATACAGACTGAATTTAATAAAGTAGATTTTAGCATGGAACATTTCTAAGCTAGCTTCAATGTAAAGGCCACATCCAATCTTCTAGTGATCACCTTCAAAGATTTAAATTGTATTTCAGAGCGACATGTTTGTCACTCCAAAGTGCAGTTTAATTAGTTTACCAGGCCCTCGGAACTTACTAGTTTAGACAGGTTCATATCTCTCAGCACACGCATGACAATGGTGGACTCAGTATCTGCAGGATTTGCTCTTTTTGTTGCTCCTAATGTTCGTAGCACTGACAATATATTCCGCAAGCCAAAATCATAATGCACCTAGGAGATATGCAAAGTCTGGGAAGATTTTCCTTGCATTAACAAGGATAAAACAATTCTTATTTATCATTTAAGATATGGATATGTATGAGAAGTGGTACATGTGGCACAAATGCCTCCTGACATCCTAGTCTTTGGCTGTATGACTATAGGCGACATAATTCCCCATCTCTGCTAAACAGTAAGGTGTGACAGAGAATTCTCTGTGGATCTTGGAAACTGACTTTATTTGAGAAACATCTAAACAAGCACAGAAAGCACAAATCAAATGCCTCTTAATCCACTCTATAAGACCAATCAGTATATAAACACTTCATTTACCTCAATCATCACCATTCATTAAAGATAAATCTTAATAATAAGCCGTGTTCTGAATGACTGTCCCATTTTGTACAGATAACCTGTAGCAGGAGTTAATCCTCCAAAACAGCAGAGGGCTGCACTACTAAACCACAAGTGTCATTTAGCTTACGTAGTGAACATGAACTTTTTCATTTTCTTCACATAAACATTAATAAGTTGTGACATCATACATAGTTTTTCCCTAAGATATTTTTCCTCATATGAAAACAATCACCTGCTTTGACAGTTGTTCTTCACACAGCTTGTACAGAGTAAAGAATTTCCTCGACAACGCAACATTAGCAATGAAACCACAACTAGCCAATTTGACACGAATTATGATTTGACGATCCGGAACCATCATAGCCACTGAACGGAAGTTGATCTTCAAGTTTTCAGGAAGCTCTTGCCGTCCAGCATATCCTGGATTCTGGAGAGAACAGGTTATGAAGTTGACTGCACCTTGCAGAAAAAAGAATCAGCAAAAGAAGGTGTAATCTGGTTTGACAAAAAGCTTTTTAGCTTTAAATCTGTATTTGTCTCATAGGTCCTGTTTTTATTGACTACTTCTCCCTGTATCTCTATAGCCATTTTTCTGCACTTGTAGCAAAAAGCATACTTTGGGAACTAGAAAATAGCATGCAGAATTAATTTAGCATTTAGATAAATGACTTGTTTTTACAGTTACAGCTATATTTGTTAATTGCATGTGCTTGAAGTCATTGAAACAAGACCCTATAAACTGTCTTTGTAGTAATGCTTAGTGTTCTCAAATTGTCATGAGTTCAAAGAACTGAGTAACAAAAGCAAGTACATTTAACATACCAGGTTAGAAGTGATTATTGTACAATCACCACTGGCACATTAGACACCTACTGAATACCTACCATAGTAAGAAAGATGCCAAATTCAGGGTTCATTTCCACATTATCTCCATCAGTAAAAATAAAGCTTTTTCTACATTCCTTCTTACACGTCAACACAATTGCAATTTGCTGTGCAGCTACTGATAGTACTGGTAAATCAATACGATTGAATTCATCAAAGCAACCCCAGGAGCCAGACTGAGCAAGACCTTCAAAGAGAAAGACAATGAAGCATCTGACCATTATGTTGTTAACCCTTTTTTGGTGCAATTAATAAGCCAAAATTCAGGGTAATCTGCCTCAGGGGGTGGGGAGGTAGGGGTTTATTTTTGGGGGTTGGGAAAGGGACAAGGAGAAGAGTTTAATTCTTTTTCAAGCAAGAGTTCACAAAGTTCCAAAAGTCCTTAAGCTTGTCTAGTACACTATATCCACCAATTTCTGCTCCTTCTTTCAGTATCTTAAATGTTTTCCTGTTCCTCCTTAGCCCTTCCAAAAAAATTCCTGTAATATGATGGGTTGTCAATAGTTTATTGCACAGTTTAATAAGAACAATAAAGTTGCTTTCACCTGGAAAGAAGTTAGGAGTCAGTGTGTGTCAGAACTGCATTCTTTCACACATATCTTGGGCAAAACAGAACAAAAATAATCAACACAATCACTTGCAACAATACAACAGTCAAGGACCTCCACTTGATCTGTAATTCAACATCTGCCATAACGGACAGATATCAGTTTTAGGCACCTAAAAAAACTGTGTTGTCTGAATCTAACTTCAGTGAGTTGTACCAACTGTTTTTACCATATATAGTGCTTGTCATGTACTTCCTTCAGCTGATAAGAACTTTGACATTTGAAGGAGACAAAATACTGAAATCATAATCAAACACATTCCACCAGTTCAGCAATAAATTTCACAGCTTTTCATTCTGTACTGGCAGTATTTGTTAATTATTTTAAGCGTCTTTATGTATCTTTTCATAAACTGTCTTATGTTTTCAGACATTTACATTTCTTGGATACAGTGTCGCAAATATATTTTACATTCATAATAATATATTAATTACTTGCATTTATCAAAACACTAAAACCACCTGCTGTTGACCTTGTTTTATAAAGATGTTCTCTTAGCATTTGTAACTTTTACTTAATCCATAGAATCATACGATCACAGAATATCATGAGTTGTAAAGGATTTATGAGGATCATCAAGTCCAACTCTGACTCCTAAGAGTTGACTACCTAAAAGTTAAACCACACATCTAAGAGTGTTGTCCAAACACTACTTGAACACTGACAGGCTTGGGGCTCTGACTACTTCCTTGGGGACCTTGTTCCAGCACTTGACCACACTGTCAGTGAAGAACTTTTTTCTAATATCCAATCCAGCCTTCACCTGAAGCAGATTTAAGCCATCCCTTCGTATCTTATCACTGGGCATCAGAGAGAGGAGATCAGCACCTCCTTCTCCACTGCCCCTCATGAGGAATTGTAGGCAGCAATGAGGGCACCCCTCAGTCTCCTTTTCTCAAAGCTGAACAAACCTAGTACACTCAGCCATTCATCACAAGCCATGCCCTCTCTAGTTCTTCTGCCATCTTTGTTGCTCTCCTTTGGACACATTCTAATATTATTATATGTTTCTTACATTTTTTATATGCTTCTTACATTTTTGACCCCAAAACTCATCTTGAGGTGAGGCCACTCCAATGCTGTACACGGTGGGACAATCACTTCTTTTGACTGGTTAGTTATACTGCACTTAATGCACCCTGGAATACAGCTAGCCCTTTTGGCAAATATCTTACCTTTGAAGATTCTCCCAAGTCCTCGGAAATCCATCTGGTCTGAACAATTGAAGACCACTACATATTTTCCAAGGCACCGTCCCATGTCTTTGATGGTTTCAGTTTTTCCAGTTCCTGCAGGTCCCACAGGTGCTCCACCCATGTTCATGCCTAAAGCTTGAGCCACAGTGATGTAACATCTAAGAGGCAACAGGCTGTCGTCACTTAATGAGGCTGTAGCACATTTTTCTGTATAGCAGCAGTGGAACTTACTCAAGTTTGTTACATAAGGGGTGTTTAGTTTTAAGGAGTCAAGAAGACTACTCAAATGATGTGCGTCTAATTACAATTTAAATCAGTAAGAAGGAAAACCATTCACTCAGCCTCTGATGTAGATAATATTAAGGTTCGCCTCCTCCTACATAAAGTGGAAGAGCAGATAATCCCCAATAATCAACCACCTGAAGCATCACAAGAAGGGAAGAGAACAGATACAGAGATGTTGCCTAATCTACTTGGGTTAGCTTGGTTCCTGAATTACTTTAACTGAAATAGTTCTGAACTACATTATACTGTGGAGTATAATAATGAAAGACCGCTAAACTTTCCTTTCTCATCCACCTTTAAAATTTGATCATACACTGCATCCCATTTTCATAAATGAAACTTCTATGTGTAATGCAGTAAAATACCAGCTAACAGTTATATCTAAAGAGAAGCTCTGGGATTTGCTGTATGCAATAATAGAAAACAAAACAAACACCCAATGCCCTTATTTTCCAATAATAGCTTATAAAGCATTCTTTGTGTTATTCCAGTTAGGTAGGTAGCCCTCTCTGTTAGTAAGACTACAATTCTTCCAACATCTTTCTAGATCAAAGATCTCCCATCCACTGCAGGTGTACAAATTTTTTTCCTGTCTATTCTTCCTGAGCTGTTTTCATTAGTTTGCCTTAAATGTTGTATCACTCTCTGCGTATTGTATCTGTTGGATGTACCTGATCCTCAGGTATACTAGCCTCACATACATGAGAGTGAGAGTCCCATGTGTGATACCTGTGGGGATCATGCAAGTATGTGGCAAAAATTAAGCTGGAATTTATTCATGTTGTAAGGGACAGAAACAAAAACAGTCACATATTGCAATCAAAATTACTGACTTTGCTAAGACTGTGAAGGATATAATATGCACAGATCTATTTTGCATCCAATAGGAATGACTAAATTGCTCTTGTTTTGGCATCAAAGGATAAAGGAATAAAATCAGTCTTTTTCACCTGTCTGTAAGAGGCGTTATGACAAGCCTCTCAGTACAGCCCAAAAATTCATTCTGGTATGTGAAACCCACATCAGTGATCTTAATCATCATTTTATCAGAGTCTTCATTAAAGTAAAATCTACATTGTTTCAGCCACTCGAAGTCTGTAGGACTCTTGATATGCATGTAACACTAAGAAAAGAGGGGAAAAAAAAGGCTCTGGTATTCGTGGTTAACATTTACTTTTGTAATTATCTCATCTAAGTAGCACTGCAATCACAATGAAAGGCATAAAGAACAACTAGTAACAGAATAGTGGAGACCCTGTCTTGATTTTTGCCACAAAAATCCCCCTTTTACTCTGACCTTCTGAGACCCCACCTGGAGTACTGCATGCAGTTCTTGGGCACCCAGCATAAAAAGGCCATAAGGAGGGCCACAAATATGATCAGAGATCTGGAACTCCTTTTCTGTGAAGACAGGTTGAGAGGGCTGGACCTGTTCAGCCTGGCGATGAGAAGGCTTAGGGGAGGCCTTATAGCAGCCTTCCAGTACCTAAAGGGTACAAGAAAGCTGGGGAGGGACATTTTACAAGGGCATGCAGTGAGAGGACAAGGGGGAATGGTTTTAAGCTGAAAGAGGGTAAATTCATATTAGATATTAGGAAGAAGTTCTTTAGTGTGGGGGTAGCAAGGCACTGGTACAGGTTGTCCAGAGAAGCTGTGGCTGCCCCATCCCTGGCAGTGTTCAAAGTGTTCAAGGACAGGCTGGATGGGGCTTGGAGCAACCTGGTCTAGTGGAAGGTGTCCCTACCCATGGCGGGGGGTTGGAACTAGGTAATCTTTAAGGTCCCTTCTAACTCAAACCATTCTATGATTCTATGATTAAAAAAGATGCCCTACAGCTTGTACCTAAAAATTACAATTTACATAAAATGATTATAACTGGAAACAACTGGTTTTACAAAAGAAAATAGGCACCTGCCTATCAGCAATGGCAGTAATTCTCAGTAATTACTGAGGGAAAAAGAAAAAAAAAATGAAAATAAAAATCAGTAATTCTTTTCCGAGACAGCAAAATTTCAGTCAGGCCCAGCCTTCCTGTAGGTAAAAGGGTATGCTAGATCTTAAATTTGACTGTATAAGCAGTATATGCTTTCATTTTCCTAATTCTAGTATCCTGTGGCAGCATGAGGAGGTGTGAATAAATAAATCCCTAAGTAATAATTACGTATATATCGAAACTAGAACGGAGGGCATAGTAGCTTCAACCAACTTCAAACCTTTTCCTGTACTATAACTCTACATTCATTCTATTTACTCCTTGAAACTCACAATGTAGTCCAGAGAGAGGACAATTACTTGCCACACAACGTATGAGGCAAAAGAAGTCCCTTCAGTGATCATGCAACAGAGGCATCTAACTTAAGTGGGCCAACACAAAGCATTATAAAATTCTGCTATTGCTTGTGGGGGCAGAAAACACTGAATTACTTCAAGGGAAACTAAGACATGGATTAAAACAACATCAGCATTTTTATAATACTCAAGGTCACATAATCATTATAGTCCTGAAATAAATGTTTAGCTTAAGAGTCATGAGTTCATAGGTATAGTAGTATTTTCTTCTCATCCTTTCACATTGTTTTATATGCAGAAGCCACCTCATACCTCATTGTAAATTTTTCAGTACTTACCAGACCATCAAAAATGTCCCTCTGATGCACATGAATAGTGATTAATGTCTCGTATTTAACTCGCTCAACTGAGCTAAGGTCTTTTGTAGTCGTATCTATCAGCACGTTTAGAAGATCCAGGAAGAATTGGTTCGTCTTTTGCATAATTTTTTTATCATACCTGGCATTAGTCAAAGCTGCTTCTGAGTCTCTTGTCCAAATCATTTGGATCCCCAACAACCCAACCTTAGGAAACATAAATGTATATGCTTCATAATATTTTCTCTTTCACCTAAAATGTACATTCACAGACACTGGTAAACTAAAGAAAGCATCCAGCTACTATTTTGTATAAAATTATTTTTTCATGCACCCATATAGAGGTCATTCACTCCATGCATTTGTTTTGTGTCCCAACTCCATTCATAAACACATAGTTAAGAACACACTTCAGTCTTGCAGACACTGTCTAGAGTGCACTGCTGATACAACTGTTCAGTATAATTTACAGCATATAAGTACTATGTATAAAAAATACACTTTATAATTAATAACTAATTACTGAAAAACTAATGCTTCTATTTAAAATATTTCATTCAATAATTCACAAACTCTTTATTCTCTCTCCAACAACAGTCCTGATCAGAAGTGAAGAAGCTTCTACCAAGAAAATAATTTTCCCTCAATTCTACCTTCAGCTCCAAATCTTTACCAATAATTATATTGTTTTCCTGAATACCTAAGCAAACACACAATTTTATTACTTTTCCTTCATTGGTCAAGTATTAAGCTTGTAAAGAAAGTGTTACCTCCATTACATTATTTATTGCATTCAGCCTTATTTTGGAAGGAAAAAAGAAAAAGGGGAAAAAAAAAAAAAAAGGAAACAAAAAACCCCCATCTTCAGGGTAAGTTTTCTTATGGTTTTAGATATGTAAAGTGTAATTTAAAAGTCTGAGTTGATTCAGATTAATTTAAATGTCGTGTTTGCATTTTTTAATGTTGGCTGCAATTTTGATTGCAAAAACAAGAAAAAAAAACATTAATGTGCTACATGTCTGTAGACAATTATTCATTGATTTAACAATGATATTACCTGGGCTGGGTAAGTAGAAAGAAATTCAGTCAGCTGGAAATTACTTTCCTCAATGTGCTCAGCTGCTTGACGGATAACATGATGCAGTGACAGCTGAGATTCCTTCAACAGAGAATTGAGCCAAACTTCCACATTACCTTCAGCCATTACAGGTTTAGTCAGCTCTACAGTCTCACCCTCTCGTGAACTAATCGACAATATACGATCGTAAACCTAATAAAAGCAAAGCGAGAACATCTTGTGTTTGTAGATTTATTGTTAGCTTTACCTTAACTGTTTGATTTTCCTGACATCACTTCATCAAACTTATTTAGATAACTAATGAATTATACCAACCTTTTGAAGTGAAATGTAAAACAAATACATCATTACTTTTGGTGTACAGAAAGGCTTTAAACAAAACACTGTCATCTGAACAAGGAGAAAAACCTCAATATGTTGAAAATTCCTGAATTTCACTTCAGTTTCAGTGACAGCACCCAATTTCCAGTCACAATAAAGGAAACCTTCCCCCATTACTGGTGAGTTAATAGCCTAACAAAATTTACAGCCTTACAAAGGAAAACTAATGGAAACACAAAAAGAACATGATCAATTACAGGAATTTCAGATGAATGAAAATGTAGACATACACAGGAAAAAAAGGGGTTTTTTTGTTGTTTTCTGTTCCTGTAAAAGGTCTAAGAAAATTGTTCTTCAAACACTATGTTTGTAGACAATATTCAGGATAACTCAGAAACAGGCGAGACACTACATACATTTTTGTTGCAATCAAAAAATGAAGGAAAGTGCAATACAGGCAATCTAAAGACATGCATATACTCATAAAGAATCAGAAGCTTGTTTGAGAGAATGCTAGACTATATTAAGCCACAGAAGACCATTCAGTACTGGGTGTGTTTTTTTCTGAAACCTAAGCACTGGTGTAATTTTTGTTTGTTCTGCTGTTCCATATAGAGTTTTCCCATTATGTAAATAAGGATATGGAACTAAATCTTCAATTTAACAGCACCAAAGAGCTGGTGAGCTTGTTAAAACACATGAATGCCCTATGCACCCAGGTAGCTTTCTTATTTAACAAGTATCACACATTGATAATTTGAAAGGATGTAACACTGAGGTGTGGGAAGTACATACCTTTTCATGGAACCTGACAGTTTTAATGTTGTCAAAGATATTCAGCAGATGTGCCTGTATATTGTGAGAGTCTGATGCCTGGCCAAGAATTTCTAAGAGAGCAGGATCTGACACAAAGAAGAATCGTGGAAATAGGAGGCGCTTTTTCTCCAGGTATCTGCATTTAAAAACAAAATCGTCGGAAAGAGGGGTGGGGAGTTGGTAGATAGTAAGTGAATTCAGTCAATTTATACATCCTTTCCTCTTTAAAGCTTGCATTTCTCACACTGTATAATTGCAATTTTTTGCAGTGGCAATGACAACAATTCTTATCCATCATACCTTCATGTTAAGCATCTGCTTTAAAGCTACTCTTTCAGCATCAGAAATCATGTAACGGAAAACTTTTATTATTTGTTATAATGTAAGTACCAATAAAAAGAAAAGAAACAAAACCAAAATAAAATGGTTTTACTTTAAGTCTGTTACATACTATTTAGGTCTCTCATGCTTAATTTCTCACGGATTTGTGAAGGGTCTGAATAGGACATACAGATCCTAGGCTGCCTTCTGGATTGAAACCATGTTGGATCATGCTTCAGTTTGAGCAGAGATAGACAGTGAGTGACAGCTTAGTTACAAATTAAATATTTCTTTATAGTTGCTAACGATGTCTTTGGAGGTGGTGTATCATTTTGATAACTTGTTTACTCAGTTCAACTGGATTCATAGTAGAACAGGAACATCTTTGCAAAGTCCATGGGACAGTAACCAAGCAATTGCTCTTTCCCTAGTTACACAATTCACAATCCTCTACCCAAGACTGCAGTCTTGTAGTAATCTTACCCTGTAAGTGATTTCTGACAGATTTCAAGCTGTTCTAGTAAATGTGGTAGTAACTGTCCCATGATTTCATCTCCAATACAGCACTGAACAACATTGGGTGTTTCATGAGCTCGGGTCATGATCCTTACCCAGGATTTATCAATGTTAGAGAAACGCTTTGCTTCCTGTTGAAACATGACAATGAATGAGGAAGGAAAGAGAGAGATGGAGGAAGGACAAGATAAAAGGGAAAAGGCTTGCACAATTGTCACCCAGTAATTTCAACAGTAATCTTCTCATTAGTAACCTCATGTCCAACTTCTAAGGATTTTCCTGCTTAGAAAAATACAAATCTTACAGCTTACACAATACAGTTTATTTTATACTTGACTGCCAAGTCTGCTGTCTACTTTCTCTTTAAATCATTCTTAGAGAAAAAGACAGAAAATTCATGCTTGAAGTGCATGCTTTGAATTAGAAGACTTTTTCTCTAAAAAGTAATGTTAATTTTTAATTTTTAAAGCTATTTCTGAAAGTTCAAGATAAGGATTCCTATGTTGTGCTAGGCACAACACTTATCGGTTAACAATTTTACAATCCAGAAATAAATAGATCAATTAGCTCACACAATGTTATTATTCTAACACAATATTTGTTTACCTATTTCTTAGCAAGACCAATTTGTTAAGTACCAAAAAAAATAAATTTATGTTACTGCATCAATTATGATATCATGGTTAAGTTTTAGAATGTAGAAAACCAAACTGAAGAAAGGCATGTCTGAAAACCTTTGGAAGCTGCTTTGCTATGTCACCACCACCAAAAACAGCTTCTAAATAAATCCACAAGTTCTGTACAGTCATCCAGTTCTCAATGATATCTGTTGTGCTGGAAAGATAGTGCATCCATTTCTGAATCTGTGTCTTGAAGGGTGTATTATATCTAAAATAAAAAGAAGACACTTGCTTTATTTCAAGAAGGAACAGATCTCTTGAAAGTCAGCATATTACTCATAAGGATGAGGAATAATTTTGCTGCTTATATCTTTGTCAAGTGAAAGTATAAAAACCTATACATGACTCAGTTCAGCTACTTAGCAGCTATAAACCAAATCAACTCCAACTTTCTGCTTTGTACAGATGGTGCGTAGAACAGCTCTGATCCAAAAGAAGCTAAATAGGAGCAAGATTTCAATTCTACTCTAAGTCAAAGTGGTTTCAAAAAAGGGCTATGCAAGACTCTTGAAAGCTGCAAGACTCCTAGAGGTCCTTATCAACTGAACTGTTGCTTTTGAACATCTGCCTTGTGACCAGGTTCTATGCACAGGCTTTGGCATGTGGAACCAGATAAATTGAAACTCATTTTAACAGGGATTTTCAGCAGCTTCAGCATGAGATAGTGAACTGTCACAGGGGCAGATTAGCCATGCCTGTAATGCCCATAGTATGCCTGCCACAACCAGGCAATGTTCCCTGTTATGTGCATCACCACTTTCTTCATAGATGAAAACTATCCAGTTGATTATTCAAGAAGTCTGAACTGCATTCCACATGCTTTCAAAAGAACCTACTGGAAGTACAAAGACAGTAAGAACTTGCCCATGAACAGTTCAAGGACAAGCAAGCTCTTAGATTTATCTAGATATTTATTTGCCTTCTCCTCTACGAAAGATAGATTTGTTCAATAAAACAAAGCCTCTTGCTGATATTTTTATCTCCCCTACTTTTCATGTTACCTGTTATTCAACAGAGATCCAAGAACCATCAAGCTGTCCTCTATGGTGGCAATTGTTTCTGATGCGTTGTCACCTCTTAAAAGAAGTTCCCCACGGGTTTTAAAATTTGTGAAGACAAATGTTTTGTTGTCCCATTCAGCTACCACTTGTTTTAACTTCTGCTCAATGTCTCTCTCCTTCTCAGCACTTATGCAGATATCCTTTTAAAGAAATAGGATGTCAAAACAAGCCATGAATGGTTCAAGTCTCTAATATACAAGTCTAACTCATATTTCCTTTAACCCTAGTGAGACTGATGAGCAACTATTTATTAAGTAGAAAGATCTACAGACATACAAACACCATAGTTAAAAATCTGTATACCACATGACCAGCTTTAGGGGAATAAAATATTAACACAGTGATTACTTTTAATATCTTTAAGTTGCAAAGCAAGGCACCCTCACGAATTAATTCCTGGGCCAAGTTGCACGATTTAAAAAGAGGAGTTGACATCACCATTTATTTGTGTCTTTTTATACAGAAAGCTGAAGCGATAGTCCATTTCTCTGTATTTTCTTTAGAAATATTCCATTTCTTTCTTACTACTGTTACTCCTATACTATTCAAGGAGATTGTTTTGTTTCATGCATCCATTTCTCTTCCTTCACAATACCTCTATTTCATCTTTATATCTTAACAGTGGAGCTTCCATTATATTCCTCAGTTTCAACATTTCGCTTTCCACATCAAAGTTGTGTTCAGTGAGATCTGCAATCTGCTTCCAGTGCCGAGGCATCATTGCTTTACTTGACATACGCTCAAGCAATGGGCAACACTCACTGAAGTCCTCAATGGTCTTCTTTAGATCAAAAAAGGCCTGCCATTCCTTTACACCACGAGGAAGCTTACGGCATCTATGTAGAAACAATGCAAACTTTTTCTACAAGTTTCAAATATTTTTTCTATTATTCATTTAACCACCATGCATATCTTTCAAATTCAGGCTGCCTGTATTCTGAAGATTCTGTATATTACTCTGCATGTAAGAAAATCTGTTTCCAGTCTATTTCATTGATTGATAGCTGGGCAGGCACCTACAGGCTAGCCTTTAAGGAGTATAACTGCATAATTCTAATACACTTTGTCCAAGCTACCTTCAAAAATAACTGAACTGTTTTATATCTTGATTTCACTTTTTGGTGAAGCTCATGATATGCCCTGCTCTGTACTCTAGGAGGAAAAAAAAAAAAAAAAAAAAAACATGGAAAGTTCAGCTTCTATGTATGCATGTATGCAATATATCTGATTTTGTAGGAAAACTCTTCAGCAAGTCACTCACTTACCTTAGACATCTAGGGTGAATCTGCCTTATGAACAATAATGTTACAACAAACAAGTGAAATTTCCTTTCATGAACAAAATAAATAACAATTTTAACATATATTCCAATTTCATAAGAAAAAAAAACAAACAAAACCAAGAAGCTCTCTAAGGAGCAGTAACCCTCAACACCTAGAGTCAAAACCTGGCGCCTTTATTTTATGAAGTTGGTAATTAATATGTTTATCAATTACAATTCATATTTTTCATGTTCCAATGAACAAATACATGCTCAGATAAGATTATTGATGCTAACTTATAATCACATGTCAGAAATAACAGTTATTTTAGGCATCTTTACCACAACAGCAGTTTCTCACCTGTTCTGAAACTCCAGAAGTTCACTGTTAACTTTTCCAGTGTCTAATTCTGACCAAAGAATATCATAGTAGCCACTGATTGTGTCAATGACATTGTTATACAGATTATAAAGTTTCTGTAACAGATTCAGTTGCTTCTTTATTTCAAGCAGCTGAGGATATCGAGTTACAGGCAAACCAAAAAGATCTTCCCCACCTGTGTAAGTGATATATTTCCGAAAAAGATTATCAAATCGATTCTGAAAAAGAAAAAGAAAAATATTAAATTAAATAAAACTAAGTAAATGTTCAAGATTTGTCATTTTGATTAGAGCTGCATTAGTGATTAAAGTCTAGCAAATACTAGAAAGATATACAAGAGATACTAACAACTTAAACTGTGGACTGCCTTGTCAACAATTTTCATGAGAAAAGTAACTTTTAATTAGCTTGGAGGCACATTAGAAGCTGACAGGGAGGCCATTTACTCCATATGGCACAGTGATAGAGCAATAAATGCTTCACTTGCACTTTGAAGAGGTGGAGCATGACATGCAAAGCAAAGAAAGGTGGATGCAGCAAATTCTACCTCTCCAAGTATGCTGTACAGTTCTTTTACTGAAGGGTCAAAGTAAGGGTTATTATAGTTTAAGCAGCAAAGAATAACAAAATTTATTTGTAAACTGTAATGTAACTGAGGGAATGTAGTAGGAAGCCAAAAGAATAGCATTATGGAAAAAGGAAAACCATTAGAAGACATTATTACCAGGAATAATGATTAATAATGGTACAAACAAAACACTTCAACAGGGAAAATAGAATAGTCAAATAGTCAGTTTAAATGGAAATCTTTAAGGGAAGACTGGGGAGAATTGTATTCATGAAGAAAAGAGACAATAATGAACACAAGAACAGCATATAGCCAAATACACCAAACATGAGAGTAGGCTCTCATCAGGATACTTAATCTAGTAATTATTACTCATTATTTAGCCTTTTATTAGCTCCTAAAAAAATCTGATTTTAGCCAGCATTCCTTGTAAATGCATAGAAAAAGTGTCAACTTAGCTTTCATTAAGTTAAAACAGACTTTGCCTAATCAGTAACCCTATATGTCAATGAAAATTAGTTCAACTGTTCTGATTCATTCTCAGAGCCTACAGGTGTTAATTTACTTTCAATAAGTATTAAGCAATGCCTTAGAATTAACAGTACCTGAAACATAGTAAGCCTGTCACTGGCTTCCCGAGGCTGTAAACCCACCACCATTGGCCCATTCTAAAAATAAATGCATAAATAAATAAAAATAAATAGAATGTGAATTTAAAGTATGAAAATAGCCACAACTTATTTCTAGTCATCATTTTTAAATGCTAAATTCAGACATCTTTGTGGCTGCAGGATTACATCCCTATGTCAGATATAACTGAACCAAGAGATCACGGTTATCTACTAGAATATGCACATTTTTTTATTTTTTAAAGAACAAAGAAGGCAATTTAATTGTCCTTTTAATACAGAAGTTTTCATAGTAGTGTAAAGGCTAGGCAATGGTAGCTCCTTTTTCAAGTAAAAATCAGCATTACTTAGAAAATGACATGACTCATATTCTACTGAGAAAAAATTGAAGATCTTTCATACTTCTATCCAACATCAGAAAAAGCTTCTTGCATTCTAAACCAATTTCTCATTAGTCCTAATCTTCACATTTGCTCCTGTCAACTAGCTGTTTATCATAAAGCCCAAATGTTTTAAGTCTTAATCTTTAAGAGCTGTTACCAGCATTACATACTTTAGTCACATACAAAAAATAAGCAAAGCCTGCCCTGCACTGAAACTCAAATACCGCATTAACAAGAACAAATATAACCTTCAGACAGATGCACATCCCATTAGTCAACTCCACAGTCTTTCCATGTTCACACTGCTCCTCAAAAACTCCTCTGGCACAATACACCACTTGCCTGATTATAATCGGAATAGAACTGCACACAGTCTTCCGTAAAAGTCTTCACAGTGCTAATAAGCTCTCCTCTGAAGTTTGGCTGCAAAGCAATGAGCTCATTCTGCACTTCATTTGCACGGACTAGCAGTTTTTCCCAAGTGTAGTGCAAAGTATCCACCTTTTCTGTCTCTTCCTTGGCCACAGGAAGACCGTATTTGTTTAACATAGCATAGGATTCCTGTCAGAAGATTTGATTGAGATACACGAAATGGTAACTGAAGTTAACTTTACACATATATGAGTGTTAATATTTAAAATTTTTAAGAACAGAGATTCACATGTTTGGAAAACAAAATCTGATCTTTATACATAGCAATTGGCAAACCAATACCAAACTGGAAGAAACATCAGAATTAAAACTAGCTAGCTCTCCTTAACAACTTACCTTTCACATAGCATTCTGTTTTCTGATAGATTATTTCCACTAGTGCAATCTGCCTGTCTGAAAAGTTATTTCTAGTTAAAGTACTCCTGAAATTTACATATTTTAGTTTTATTTTAATTAGAATATTTTTCTGATCCATATCTTTAGTTGTCTGCTATAACCCAAGCTGAATATTATGGGACGTGAACCATGAGAAAGCATCTAAGCCGAGGTCTTCAAGTAAGTGAAGCAAACTTCTATTCTACAAAGACCTTTAAAGCCCTGCTTCATGTTATCAACAAAAAAAGCATTAGGAAATCACATCAAAAGTTACCACAACTAATATGTTGCAACTATTTCAAATGCTAAAATTATTCATCATTCAGAATGAGGAATCTACTTAAAAATGTACTTGATGTAGATTTGTTTCTTCTGAATACTGATCTTCACTTATACCACCAATGTATAAACACTCCACACACTGAAACCCTTAGCCAAGTTTCACAGAAAACACTACTGGAATTCACTTACTCTAAATTAGCATAAGTGGGTAGCAATGAATCTTATGGCATAACATAATTTTCAGTTCATCTGAAAATTTTTATATAAAGTGGAATTATTTTCATTTACCTTTTCCAGTTTGATGAAATTGCAGACAATTTGCAAAAACGCAAACATAACTGTCTGTCTGCCAACCCACTATGTGAAAAATACATCAACCTCCATTTCAAAAATCTGAAGCATGACTCCCTGTGCCTAAGGGCTCAAGGCTCCTTCTTGAAGAACTGGAAGCTTTGGAATCTTTGGCTACCTTGGTTTTTGCCTTAGCTCCACATCACATGGCAAACCAGGATATATCTTAGTAGTAATTTCCAAAATGTCATTTCCTAAGAAATCCAGTTACCTATGAAAATTTCACAGAAGGTTCCAACTACAGATATGCTTTGCTTTTCACCATAATCTACTTGTCCTATTTTTGCTCCATCACACAACTAGGGAGACTCTCACAGCTTCTAAGGCTGAGATACAGTCCTTCTTAGCTGTGTTCTGCAGACTATGGAAAGGTTCTATGCACATTTACATTATTTGCACATACAAGTACATACTGCATACAGATGTTTAATAAATATACTCTTTAAGGAAGTCAATCATTTATGTTAATTTCAGCCCATGATATAGCTGATAAATCAATCACACATATAATCAGCTTCTTCGGTAGTCTAAAAAAAAAAATATTATACAGAGAGAGGAAAATCAATGTTTTTCATACAGACTTCTTCCACAAGAAGCACCAAAAGGTTCCACAAAGTATTAAAAGCTTTCTTGCATTAAATGCGTGTATCCTCATCTTCCTTTCAATGTAATCACTCAATTTCTGCACTATTCACTAAACCACTTTCACCTCAAGCCTACCTTTGTCAGAGTTCCACACAAAAAAGGTTTACAGAAACACAACAGGTCTGTCAACAAATATTTAACACATATTAAATCATACTTTTTCAAAGTGTACTGTTAATAACCCAGAAAATAATTGCTCTGGTGAAACAGCACCCATACATGCAACATTCCTGTTAACTACCTCAATAGGCCCAACTTGAGAGTCTATGGAGATCTGTAGTTCTCTGATCTCTTTTAAAGCTGCCATGGCTATTCTTATATCATCCAGATCCTTGATGTGGCGATTTAACTTCTTGCCAGTTTCCTCTATAAAAGTCAAAATTGCTTCCATCTCTGTTCGGTACTTCTTATTACAATGACGCCCCAGCAAAGTCACCCAGGCTTTGGTTTCTGCTCTCAGTGCTAGCTTCAGATCAGCTAAAAACATTGAACAATTAATAGATATTTAGATATTGCAGATATTTTTTAAGATGTACTTTTAATCTTTTTGTAATATGTGTTCTCTTTGGTCCCAGTTCTTCTTTCAGTCTAACTATCCATGTACCACATACAGAAAAGCATGAAGTTGCATTCACACCTTTGAGTGGTTTATAGGATTGATTGCAATTCAGGACTGCTTTCCTCCTAGATCTGCTCAGAATGTACCATCTTTCCTACTGGAAAGACGAGGCCGCACTCCATACTTGTTATCTTGTTTGTATATCATTATAGACATTTCTGTCCTATACATCACTAACAAATTGGTCAATATTCTCATCTAAGTTTAAAATCTTTTCAAAAACTAATCTTGAAAGAAAAAAAAAAAGAAATAATGTGAGGGGAAAAAGTAAGAGTCTTATTATGGAAGCTGAAGAAACAGATCTGACATCTAATGAAACCAAATGGTCCATCAACCATTTAATTTTTCTATCTAAGCTTTGTCTGTAAAATCAGTGGAACCAAGTGACAAAAAAATTTTAGAGAAAAAATTGAAGTCTTGCTGAGTTGCTGTCCAATTTTGCTACAATCTGATCCATTTCTTTAATGTTGTGACATAAAATACAAACTTCTTCCTTTCAGTTCTCAACAGAAAAGTCAAAAATCAATACCAACACAAGCATTACATAAAATTCTATTAGGATATAATTTCAACCATGTTACCTATTCATTCACTGTGCAGAGCTCACTTGTGTCCCTTTTTATACAGTGCCTCTTCCTATGCTTACCTTTCACACTCGATGGTCTTTCTGATATATTAAATATCAGAACTACCTCACCTCCACTGAGTTTCAACAGCCACCTTGTTTCTCTAGTTCTTTGCCTTATGATATAATCAAAGACATTTGGTTGAAGAAATTGTTCTGCTTCCTCAGATTTGACATCCACTGCAAAATCATTTGCATGCATTTCTTACAGTCCATCATAATTCCTAACTGTTCTTTCTGTTATACTGGTGTAAAATGCTTATGCAAAATTTAGTCAGGTGATGTGTAACCTGAGCTATTTGATTTGAGGCCTGGCTTTCATGACAAAAAGGGAATCAGCAAAAACACGCATGTTTCACTTTACCAGCTGTGTTAACTTGAACGCTTTTCAGCAGTCTCATTACATGCAACCAGGCAAGGAGAAAAGCAACACATATCAAATGTAGCGTCTTACTCCTATGAACCTATGAGAGTCAGTGACAGAAGGATAGGCAAACATCTACCATCCACTCTGTAAGTGAGCAAAATATCCAGATGGGGGAAGAAACTCCAGCTGAACCTCACAGATACCCTTGCATTAGTGTTTTGTTTGCATGCATTTGCAAAACAGCAAACAGCCATTTCCTCTTTCTCTGTTTCATCTTTAACCTAGTTCACCCATGCAAAACTGAATCTCTCCTTTTGGGAGTCAGAAAGCATACATCTCTAGAGAGCAGTGGAAAACTGAACTCTACCGGTGTACAGTGCAATAGCTCCCACGCAGATGTATTCAGGTTCAGAATTGATTTTCAGCTCCAAGTCTTGGAAATGCAGAATTTCAGATTCAAAATCAGACAGTAATGGGTTTCCCATCATTATTTTGTCAATGGTTTCCTCCTTGTCCCTCTGCCATAGGTGGTGGTAACAACTGAAACTCTCCAAAGCTGTAAGAACTTCCTGAAACACATTAGAAGTTCAAAGAAAGATTCTCAGTATTGGAGGTATAGATTACACCTAATTTCTTAGCATCTGCTGGTTGGAATACATTAAAAACTATGGTGAAGCAGGCTACATCACCTCACGAAGTAGAAGGCAGCTGGTAAATTTATGCTAAAACAAACTCCATTAGCAGTCACAAACCTTGACAGGAACAGTATGCTAATCATGTTGAATTTGTCAGATCAGTTACAGTTTTTTCCAATGAAGTGATTCTTTAGTCAAAATCCTAGGAATCAGTGGAAAGTGAAACACTCCATTAAGACTAGTATAGAGTACACTTGTCTTTACCTACCCTTACTGAACTGGGAAATGAAATGTGAGCTCCAGGGCCCAACATGGCAAGAACAGTTATGAGACAAAATTTATTACATGTATGATGTTGGTGATGTTAATATTAAATTCTACACTCAATTCGGGTATCTTTGATTTTAATATTATTAAGGAGTGTGCAACTATTATTTTTCTGGTTCTCAGGAGTTTGGAAAATATCAAAGTGAAATCATTGTCACTTCATCTAATTAAACAAGTAAATGAGAAGTTGTCCTGGGTTCAGCTACAGCAGTCATTTTTTTTCTCCATCTTAGTAGCTGGTGCAGTGCTGTGTTTTTGACTTTCAGTCTGGGAACAATGCTGATAACACCGATGTTTTTAGTTGTTGCTCAGTAATGTTTACTCTGACCAAGGACTTTCTCAGTCTCATGCTCTGCCAGGGAGGAGGGGAAGCCAGGAGGAAGCAGAGACAGGACACCTGACCCAAACTGGCCAAAGGAGTATTCCATACCACAGCACGTCATGCCCAGTATAGAAACTGGGGGGAGTTAGCCGGAAGGCCCAGATCGCTGCTCGGGTCGGGCTGGGTATTGGTCGGCGGGTGGTGAGCGGTTGTGTCCTCTCCCCTTGTTATTTCTCTGATCATTATTATTGGTAGCAGCAGTGGTTTGTATTATACCTTAGTTACTGGAGAGCTGTTATCTCAATCCGTGGGAGTTACATTCCTCCGGTTCTCCTCCCCATCCCTCTGGGAGCGGGGGGGAGGAAGGAAGTGGGGGGAGTGAGCGAGCGGCTGTGTGGTTCCAAGTTGCCAGCTGGGCTTCTTCACAGAAATGAATGCTACGAGGGATAATCCTCATCATGACTTACGATAAACATAGTGTTTGCAGGCATTTAAACCTGGCTAAATGATAAGTTTCCAATTACAAAATATTGAATATTAAAATAACAAGGTAGCTATCTACCATTATCTTATTCTTCAGCATAGGCCTGTATGTCATTGTGCTTGCTACACTTTCATACCACTGAAGTTACAAGGCTTTGAGACAGAAATTTTCACCTGGAAAGGCTCCATTGCAAGGCTGGACTGGCCCCAGGAGGGACTGATGCAGAGTTCCCCAAAGAAATATCAGTTCAATACCTACAGTTTACTAGAGAGTTCATAGAACAAGAAAAGGGCAAAGAAATTATGCATATCCCTTAAGCTACCTCCTAACCTTCAATAACAAATCCTGTGCAGCACTCTACAAATGCCAAGCCAACAACCAGTTTTCCTCCAAAACCCTTCATTAGCTCTTCATAATGGGCCAGAATTCATGCTGGCTTCTTTAGAATTTCTGTGAATAAAACCGTACTTAACACACTTGCACAATTACTACCAGTTCTATATTAAATACACACAAGTCAGCTAGCCCTAGAGATATTTTATGTTGTTTTCAGCAATTGGAGATTTTTAATCAGATATAATTTTCACTTTATGTAATATTTGGAACCTCAAATTTTTTAAAAGAGTACACAACCCGTGGTACACTTTCAAAAGGTATTTTCAAATTTGCAGCCATATGTTTTCCATCCACCATCCTATGTTTTTTCATTTGTATGATTTGTCACTTAGAATGTCAAAAGTAATACATTAATAACCCTTGGATAGTGATATTAAATTAACATCTTGATTGTCTTACCCTTTTTGTAGAATTGATAGCAGTGCTGAGTAAAGATACCAATTTAATAATTTCTTTGTTCTCTGAAACACTCTTGAAGTAGTTCTGGTTTCGCACCGGATCAGGCAAACTGAGTGATGATACATCTGACAGACTATCTATAAAAACAAATTCAAATACAAAAGCAGTTTTTAGGAGAGATATATTGTTCAGGCCAAGCAAATCCCTGTAGAAAAACCCTAATGATCTATTTTGCAATAAACATGCATTTTAAAGTTAAGTGTTCTTATTAATCAAAAAAGAAACTAGAAGTCTAGATGGCCAATATAATTGCCACAAATTAATAAACCTGTCCATTTTAGGAAACTTGCTTCATCTAGGCACTCTGTCAAATTTGGAACAAGTTCCACTCCAATCTTTCAAATATAATATTTCCTTTTCTCCCATCTCTCCCCAAAGGTTACCCTGCATACTTCACCCAAGTGATTTACTGATGTGTCAGCAACAAGCCAATCCATACATTTTTTTAGTTTCTGAAATAATGTGGGATAGATCACAACTGACAATATGAAATACAAATTAACATTAAATCCAAGAAGATGATCGTATCCAGCCCTCAAAAGGAGAGAAAAATATAAGGAAGGTCCATTAGTTAGCAAATGCCCACAAGACTGAACTTACTATAATTTATTTCATCTGTGCAAGAGAAATTCTTAGTTTTGAAATAACAATTTCATTTCTTAACAAATTCAAGCATTTCTTTCCTAATTTTTAGGTGTACAAGAGGGAGCTAACCTAAAAGGACTTGATTTATATTTTAAGTACCTGAAGTACAAAGTAGAATAATTAATTTGGTCTAATTCTAAACCATTTCAGACAAGAGAAAACTAGCAACCAAAGATACCATCTTAAACTTTCATGAACTAATGACTTCCATATCTTAATTCCGTGTCTGATCACAAAACAGATTAGTTTAAAACTTTTAAGAAATTTCAGTCTGTTCAATCTCTACACAATCTTCTCTCCAGCCATGCTGCAATTGATAGAAATATTTCAAATACCAGGTTGTGTTGAAGTTCAACTTACCCTTTGAATAGGAATCTTAGCACAAGTTTTATGATGCTATTTAAACATGCCATGTTACAAACCACACCGACAAATTGTGAAACATCTTTTGTGTAGTGATAGTGACTATAATTGTTCTCCAAACTCATTCACAGTTTCTACTGGACTGGCCAAGCTGGCACCCCAACAGCTTTTCACATGTTACAGAAAACCCAAAGCAGTACAACACTGAGAGGCACAAAAAAAAAATCCCTTTAGTCAAATCCACACAAATACAAGTATTCTCAGGTAAGCCTGGTTTCTAATCACAAGGAGAAGCACCGGTATTGTTATACCCTATTTCTTCTCCAAGGTAGTTTAAAATCTATGAAATCTTCATTCTACCACTTTTAATGCATTTTGTATTTAATATCCTTTCATATATTCTGTATAAAGCACATTTACTTAACATTTAAATTGAGTGATGTCAGAGTTTATAATTACCATGGATATTTTTCTTTCCAGACTCTTTCATTCCACTGTCAGAATCGCTGTCTCTGCTCTCACACCGCAACAAAGTCACTTTCTTGTCTAACATATTCTTCTGAGGAAGAGATAAAATTTCATGTACTATTTGCAATATTTTTGAAACATTACTTTTAAGCGAGGCTGTTAAAGACACAAACCTTTGATATTCTCTCCATGCTCCACTGTCCAACTCCTTTCATTACTTTCACAATACAATCTACAGTTTTATTAAGCGTCTGCTGTACCTCATCCAAAGAAGGTGACATGATGATATTAGGGATAGATAAGTTAATACTAGTCCTAATTATAGGATGAGCACTTCTTTTCTGCATAGAAGCATTGTCATTTTCTAAATGAAAGACAAAAAAAAATTTGAAAGGTTGTGTAGATTTTTTTCAAGATGTCAAACTATGTACTGTAATGATATAAACCAATATATATATCCTAGTGTTGAGTACAGAGTGCAATTCCTTAAGAAGAAAAGGATTCCTGAGTAATTTACAAGATGTAAAGTCTACAGCAGCACAAGTGAAAACTGCTATTTCTCTCCATGAAGCTCTTCTTCAACTTGTTCCATGCAACTAAACTCTGAGAGCAGAAAATTTTGTTATCTGGCTTGTATTCCCTATCAGCATATTAAATCAGGCACAAAACCTCATTAGAATTTTGTAATATTCTGTGTCTTACATCGTACAGAGACCAAACAAAAATGCCTTTATATTTGCTTCCTAAAAGTATGGAGCAAGAAAACACTTCAGAAGAGTGTTTCATAATAATGTACAGAAAGATCTGAAGGTAATTAGTAAGATTACTTACACACCTCTTTCTCTATTGTTTTTTCATACCATTTTATGGAAAAGTCAAGGTCAAATACTTGTTAAGTCAGCTCCAAACATAATATCTGGCTTCAGAACAGTACAGTCAGTCCCAAAAGAAACATCATTGCAATGACACATTCCTAGTGTCACATGAAAAAAAATCCTTTGGAAATATACCATATTATCAACGGTGATTTAACAAGATAGCTTATTCAAACTCCCTTTGGTTTGCCTTCTTTTACATATGTGGCTCTTTTTTTCTATAGTTCTGGGATATTATGTTTACGTATTTCTTTTTATGAGCTAATAAAGCAAAGTATTGCAATATAGCCACCTAAGAAACTGATTGTGGAAGATGCATGGATGCGCTTGCGTATGGTCTCCAGAGTGTTTCGAATGACTTTCAAAAGGGCATCAATATTACAATGATTGAAGTAGGAAAGCAGTTCATTGGCTTCTTCCTCTAGTATTTCTAAATCTGTTCTCTTCTTCTTCACTGGAGGAGACAGTCCAGCCCATATCTCGCTGGAATTGTGGGATGAAGTCAAAATTTTTGGTCTTCTTTCCTCTTCTGTTGCTAAAACATCATGTATCTAGTTAGTTAAATCAACTTATGGGACTTAAAACACAATAAAGCAACAGCTTCACAGGTCTCTGAAAAACAGCGAAATGTTACAGAAGTGCAGATTATACTCATTTGTAATCTGTACCTTGGTGTAACATTCCTTTCACTCCTATCCATCTTCTCTACTCAGTACAGCCTGGCATGATTTAGATATTATTTCTTTTATTCTTTCTCTAGGAATTAAGCAAAGCCCGTAAAGCAGCTGCTTCTGTGGCATTAACATTCCAACATGCAAGTTAGACTGATAATATTGACCTGTTTAACAGATGATAAATGATTGATAGATGATCTGTTATCCAGGCAAATTCAAACAAAAGTCTTTAGACATTAGATACTGATTGATACTTCAGTCAGCTAAGCTACAATAACCCCCAACACACACTATCAGCATGCAAAATAAACATAACCACAGGGCTACAATAAAATCTTCTTACCTGTATATTTTCCGCTTACTTCACCAGTGGGTACAACTGACTTATCTTCTTTACTGACCTGTACCTCAGTGTCAAGTAACATGTTAATCAGCTCATTAGCAGCATCTTCCACCAGTGAGCTTTTTAAATGCAAAGTCCGAGAACCTCTTACACAGAGCTCCTGTTATCAAACAAAAACAAACGAATACTCTTATCTTCCCAGTTCTCACATCTATTTCACAGTCACAGCAGCCTTCATTAAGGCAAATGTCAAGGCTTCAGATTTGTGAAAAACAAGATCAATATACAATACAATTTTTAAATTGGCTTGTTCCAAACTATTTATTGATGGATTTTTGTGTTGTGCCAAAGACTTCATTGAAGTCTTTCAAAATCGCTGTGGCTTTTTCCCTAAATCACATAGCTATAGTTAATATAATGAGTCAAGGTTTATAAAGCCTAGTTCCATTAAAGGGTTCCCAAAAGTAAGTGCTTCTTAATTTTCTTAACTTTCCAATATAGATGTGCAAGATTTAACCTTTCTTTAAAAATTGTCATTTTACGTTACTCAGCTGTGCCATGGGAGTATTAGCCAATCATATTTCCTATTTATAAATATATAGGAGATAAAAAAAATACCAAAATCTATTAGAATAAATAAGAAAATTATTAACTGGGGGATAAAGAATCAAAGAATTAGATTTAACAAAATTCAGAAATGTATTAAAGTGTTGTTCAGGGGTGTTTTAATACTTATGGTAAAATTGATTAAGTATGCTTTAGCAAACCCTAGTTTTTAACTATAACTGCCTTTTACTTTTTTTATTCCTTGTTATCTCCTATTTCTTTAAGCTTAATCAAACCTGACTACCTCCATTTAATTAAAAAATGAATAATCAGAAAAATTAAATCATTAGAAAGATTCAGTTATTTCCAAATTTTAATACAGAATCTTTGATCTTCCTATTGATTCAGTCTAGCTGAGAGAGAAGCCATATCTGATTTGCAATATCATAACTACTCCTAAACAAAGTACTTTGAGGGTTTTTTCCACAGTCTAACTATTTTTGTTACAGTGATTTCTTTAGAAACTTAAGGACACTTGTTATGTGATAGAACTTATTTACAGTCCCTTCTAATTAAAAACTACAATAAGCTTACAAATGGTGTTACTATTTTCATTGTACCCATAACTGGGGTTAGTATAGCACTTGTTCTGCTAACCCAAATTCATTTGCTGTTGTACTGTTGTTATTGCTGTGTAGCAGCTCACGTTTTCTTGCAGAAGATCAAACAGTATCAGTTATCACACAATGTTGAGAAGTTATTTGTGCTCACACTCACATATTTTTACTCCATTTAATATAGTATTATCCCTACCAAGAAAGCACCAGAGAGTGAACAAAAAAACTTTACAAATTGTGAGACTTACAAAATAACCATTCACTGCATAAAACAGTAAATATTACTTTGTATTTAGTAACAAGGTGAGCTGTTAAAAGGGACAAAAGAGGAAAGGTCAAAAAATTAAGTACAGTAAGAAAACTTTAATTTATAGTATTTATGCCTACAAGAGGCCAGGGATGGGGATTATCTACATGATCTTCTACAATCTTTACTAAAATAAAATTTATTTCAGGATAAAATACATTATATCCTGAAATGCCAAAACACCTCACTATTGCCTCATAAAATCATTCTGACATTCAATTTTATTACTAGCTTAATCAGCTTTCTAACTGACTAACAACTGCTCACAGCTAATCCTTCTCAACATAACAGTATTTTGATGGGGTGAAGGAAGGGGCCATTTCCAGAATAACTTCACCCGGGTATTTCTGATTATATTTTGCACATCCCATTACCAACTCAGGAGAGTTTGGGATTAACAAAGATATTCAGTGCACAAACATTTGCATAGCATTTACTCTCCCAGGCAACAAAGTGCACTCGTTATAGAGCTATTCACAGGCATCAGATGGGCAATTCCCTTATTTAAAGGAATTAAACTAAATAACAAGCATCAATGACAAAAAAAAAGATACTATCACAGAGGAAAAACACTTCAGTAGAATAATATCAAAGCATAAAAGAAATATCATACAGTAGTTGGTTTAACAGTAATGAAATCAGAAAAGAACATCTGAACTCAGACCTCGTTGCACTTGGTATTTTTGTTCCTTTTTAAAGTTGCAGCTAAGCAAGTGAGGATTCCCTTTTTTCACTTTCCCAAGCATGTTTCATTAGTTCTGCACTGGTTTTATGTCATAAAAACAGGAAAATATCTTAATTCAAAGACATCAAACTCCTCTTTATGAAATTTTTATCTAATAACCTTAGTCTTTTGAAGAAATTCCTCACAGCTCAGTGGTTCATCATCTGGCAACTTACAGAGTGGTACTCTAGTCATTTCTTGAAGGACAGCATCAATACGAAATTCAACCAAGTCATTCACTCGATCAAGCAATAACTCCAGACCAGCTTTTGAAGCAAAGAGAAGATTCAAGACAAGCTTAGAACTTTGAAACAATAGTTTTTGCAGTGTTCTGCTGAAATTTTTACTTCAACAAACTATCATATTTAATTTTATATGAATTCTACACCTTAGCCAGCTTGTTTCAAATATCTAAACTTTTATGGCAAGGTTCATCACTGAAATCATAATTAATTTTTTGCATAGCATATGCACACCTAGCATATGCTATCCGTATCCTAGAAGATAACAGGCAAAATATTATAAATATGTATCAGATGAGCTCATACTACATGCATGTTAAGAGTATATGCATTTCAAACATAAAGACATCAAAATGCAGTTCAGGCCCAGGAATACTACTCCTCCTACAGATTGAACTCATTACCACTTGGAGAGCCTACTCACAACAGAAACTTTTGACAAATAAAACATCTATCCTTCAAAAGAAGTCAAATAATAGTCAACAGAAAACAATCATTAGAATTTTCACAGTTTAATAGCAATTTGCTTTCAATGCAGAAATTTAAATACCAGCCTGTTCCAGACTGAAACTACTTTTATTATTCAAAATTAAATTGAGTGTAATGTCAGGTTAGCATCCAAAATGCATTTTAATTTGCCATTTCGACTAATGAAAATTCCCACTATAACATTTCAAAAAACAAAATCTATTTGATGTAGTAATTAAGCTGAATCAAAAGGAACTTGGTCTTTTCAGAAACAATACACATCTCAGTGCAATCTTGTGATAATCTTTTGAAAAAACAAGCTCATCTGTTTCTAAAGCTATTGCCCAAGATGTGTATGTATTGGTTTTAAAGACACTGATGTTAAAAAAAAAAAAAAAAAATTTGTACATTATAGTAACAAAAGGTAAGATTAGGAAAAGTCTGAAACCTAGGAACTCTTTTGAAAAGTAATCATTCTTTGAATTCAGAATACACAGGACCTTTTGCCCACCACTTTATGCTTGGTTTAATCCTAACTGCCACCCCTTCCATATTAGTAAAAATTTTACAAGTATGTGAGACAATGAAGGCATTTTAAAAAGCAGAGGTTTCATAAAGGATGGATGAAAATTCTGATTTCTTTCATGCATAAGCCAATTAAGTTAACCATATAAGGGACAGTAAGTCTAATAATATAGCTTGCATTTGTATAGAAACAAACAAGCTGAAGTTAATGGAAAGAGGCAAGCGACTTACCTAGCTTGTAAAAAACTGAATTAATATACTTCTCTATATTCAAGGATGTCCATGTCAGTAACATTAGACCTGGCTGAATAGCATCATCTACATTTGCTAATCGAGGAGCCACCAGTTGCTCAATAGGGTGTTGTATTTTCAGTTTAATTCTTTTATATTCTGCCAGCATCATCTGAAATGAACAGAAAACTAAAGCACTAGATAATACACACTGATTTGAACCTCTCCACGTTATCCTTGGTTCAGCTGTAACAGTTACTAAGCTGGACTTAAACCACAGCACACATACACATATTTATGGTAATTTAAATTAAGAAAATTCCTCTGCATTTACTGATAGGAAGTAGTAAATTAATTCCTTATTCTGCTTTGCTTATGCATGCTGTTTTTTGCTTTCCCTGTTAAATTGTCTTTATCTCAACCCACATGTTTTCTCTTTTAACCTCCAGATTCCCTCCCCCATCCTACTGTGTGGAGTAAGCTACCGTCTGTGTAATGGTTTCCAATGCATCTTTAACCTGCTGATCTAGTTCCGTGTTTTGCATAACACAATCCTTGCAACAACTTTGACTTAATATAACTTCATTTTTTTCCTCATTTCAAAATCAAGTATCCCTTTGAAGACACAATTTTCTAAACACCTATCTTTGAATCCTCGAGTCGTCAAGAACCTTGTCTGTTCATAGGCAGACAAAATGACCAAAGGATTTGACAGATGAGAGAAAGGGAAGTTTTAGCTTCTCTTTTTAAACTATTCTACAGACATCTGTGTAAAACACTGGTGCAGCAACTATGCTGCTACTTGCTGGATGTTTTACACCTTTTAAAGGCATACCACCTATTCCTTTCACCCAGCTATCCTCTCAAAACAAAGTTTAAATAATGGTGACTCTAGTATTGGATGAGAGATAGATTGCTTATCATTTAGAAAGCAGGCAACAGAGAAAGGCATCTTGTAAGCCTCCTTTCCTTCCTAGCCTCATCTCTTTACCAAGTTCTGCAGAACTTCCCTAAACCCATGCATCTTTGAAATGACTTCACAGAAAATACAGTCAAGAAATTCTTTTTAAAAGTGCAAGATAGTCATAGAGATAAAAAAAAAGATTTTCCAATATTTTCTTAATGCATAGTAGTTGATCTTCGTATTTTCTCTTCCATATGTATAGAACTTGGACATCTTAATGTAGATTACACATATATAAAATAACTAAAATAAACTCACGTGCAAATTGTTGATAATCTTCTTATACCAGTCTCTCTTCTGTTGAATATTACGTGCAAAAGGTGGGATTTCTAGGTGCATGTGAGACATGCAATCTGTTTCTTTGATTAAAGTTAATATTTCAGGGTCAAAATTCACAAATAATTCTCCTGTTTCTGGAACTTTTACCAAGAGACATGCTTCAAGTCCTCTTTTAGTTAATTCAATCTGCAGGAAACAAAGCCATCATTCCTGATCAGACAAACCAGTACAACAAAATACTTTGTTTTGGACATAAATATCACTTTGGCAGATACAAAAATCATATATTGCTGACGATAAAGATTGATATAGTGTGAATCAAGAACAAAACTTTATTAGCAAAATCTGTAGGTACTCAAATGCTTAACAACCAAATTAACTGTCCTTTCTCCCACAGCCATTTTTCTGTTGGTTCTTGGATATCGTAAGCTGCATTCCACAGTACAACATCAAAAACAGAGCCATAGACTTTCTTAGTCCAATCCTCTTAAATCTGAACTCTCATTTCCTTAAAACTTATTCCATATTCCTCTGTAAGGCTGCACACAATCTCTCTGATGAACTAAATTATTCTCTGATAACTTTTTCAGACATCTTTTGAATAAACATATCCTCATTTCCCCTTTTGCTTGTTTTCCACTACCTAACAGATACACCATGCACCAATCTTAATGGAACTACCAATTATATTCAACTTCTGGGCAAATTTTTAAAAAGACTAAAATTAATGTTTCTTATAGATTCTGGGTTTAATTTTTAAAAGGGAAACCCTATCACACTATTGGTTTAACTGCCCTATTTGAATATTAGAATGCCATTTGTTCTCCAAGTGATTAGAAAGGACAGTGTTCATAAGACCACCACACGTGGAAAATTTGGCTGATACCAAGAAGAAATCATGTCTTAGGTAGGAAAATCTTTCCTACTTGAAAAAGTTTGCTGCTATTCCTATTTACAGTTGTATTTTGCTGACATAATTTTATTGTTCTTTATTTACTTCTCAAATTTCGTATACCACATTACACTTGAGATGGAGCTTTTTTTAAACAATAGTTTCATATCCCATTGATTTTTTTCAGCATACATCTTTCTTTTTTATGTAACAGACTGAAAATTTGCAATCTCTTTCAGTGTCTAAAGTACAGTTGACTATACTGCTTGCTTCAGCTGTATCTTGTATTATCACTGCACTTTATACAGCATTTTTCAAGAAACTACCTAATCAAATTCTGTCAGTGAAGTTGTCATGCTCTATCCAGTAGCATCAAAGTCATTCAGCACAGCTGCCTTAACTAGGAGCTGAATAGTTTTTTGCACAGTTCCCCAGAAAATCTTACTGCACTCCTAGTTATTCCCATTATCCATTTCTTCCTCTCTCACTTATGGTGGGTTTTTTTTCATGGAATTTTCATTATTAAGATAATAGAAAACAGTAACAGAAGTAGGGAGTACACTGAAAACACAAATCTTACACTGCCACAGAACTACAGGAATTTTCACACTTTTTTTATTTTATTATTTTGATATGTCCAAGTTGAACATCATTGGCTGTAGCACAAAAAATAGTTTTAAATCTTAAGCTATTACCAAAAAAAAAAAAAAAAAAAAAAAGAAGTTAATGGGTATAAATAAGGTGATAATCAGCCAGTGACAAACAGGCAAAAGGAGGGGAAAATGTTCAGCTATATCAGAAAGTGCCACTAAGCTTAACTATTTCCATTGCATAGGAGAATAAAAAGTAGTAGGACCTACAGGCCTATTTCCGTTTCTTTTGTATTCCCCACAGTACACAGCCTCCCTCCTCGTTTTCCTTTTGTTCAGGAATAGAGCAGGAGCTCCATCTTGTGTTCCATGATACTCATGTCCATATCCGTCTGCACTCCTTGCCTCAAGAATAGAGCGGACTACTGAACGGTAGCCAAGGGGTTTTGCCACATCTGTTGGACATGTGCATTGATTTTAAAACGGATGTACTTATCCTGTATTTTCAAGGCATGTATGCTCATATTAAAACTTGAAATTGTGTTCAAATCTACCTCCCTTTGTTCTCACCTAATGAGTGTAAGGTTGGAGCAGACTCAGCAAGTTTATATGGCTGCCAAGTGCAATTTCACCTTTCTATAGGAGAAACCAGACATGTACTTTTAGCACAGATCAGAATTAGACCACAGATCATTAGGACCTCACAAGGGAAAGCACCAGTTCAGGGGAGATGCTTTGGGTGCTACAGTTATTTTGTAAAAGATGAAAGGAGAATGTATGTGACTGCTCCATCGAGTCATGGTACATGTCATAAAATCTGATCGCTAGATCATTTAACCAAAGGACACAGATGTAGCTACCACATTATACTTTTCCAAAATAAATATTTTTCATTATAACCTTTTAGTTATAATGAAGTTTCAATTGTTCCTAAATTCAGCTACAGGCAATACAGACACTGTTTATTATAAAGTACCTTTTGTCATTTCATCCTTCACTTAGGAGGCATCCTGAGTCTAAAGCTCTGTGTACCTGACTACTGTTGTTAAACAGAGATTTCTTCACATTGCTATAACCCAGTTTTTCATTGAGGCCTGACACAACATGAATCCTATCTGGTCTGTAAAGCTAGGTGTTAGTAGTCTACCAACAAAAAACCACCAAGTCTTTTATTTTTTTTTTATTTTTTTTAAGATATCCTAATCAAAATCAGCTGGTTTACCTGCTGAAGCCATTCCCTGTGGTAGATCACCTCAAACTTCACAAGAACTTTTGCTACTCTGTTGTAGTTGCGGATTACACGCTTGCCATCTGGTGTCTGAAGAACAGTTGGGTGTTGCTGGAAAGACTCCATGGGCTCCTGGATCCTACGGAATAGGTGGCGTGCCCACAAGATCTTACCAGCTATTGGAGGCAGATTACGAGACAGCGGAGGGTCATGCTTCTGCCTAGTGTAGATCTTACAGACTGTTTCTATGTCATGACCGTAGTTTTGGAGTATTTTCTGATACTTGTCATCAATGCCAAGATTTGGGATTTGTAATCTGCTTAGAAAAATAATAATCACTTAAAAATTCTATCAATACTTCTGAAATTCTCCTGATGCATTGTTGTTCCAGATTCTCTTGCATTCTTTACATAATAACTACTTTAGCAGCAGAGTTTTCACTAAAGCTTGAAAAAAATGCTGTAGCAACCTGATTCTAAGCAACCGAGATTTAGACCAGATGATAAAAGTTTCCAAGTAAGCCTACACATTTTCTGTTTTGTCACTGTTTTCAAACATCGAGCTAAAATTATGTGCAGCAAACTGCAACTAATCCACCACTAGCAGTCTACTCCATTAAAGAGAGTATTACAAGAAGACTGATGCAATAAAGGCTGAGGCTGCATTGCAACAATGTGAATTTATCAAAAAAAGTTTCTCTGTTAACTAATATAGGCATTTTATTCTCTCCTAACTGCACTGCATTAACAAATTAATGTTATTGTTCAAGGACGAAGATAAGGTGAGTATGCTAGCAGCCATAAAGTACTCCTGTACTTATGCTATTTTTCGGAAGATTAAATACAAAGTCCACTCATGTTTTGCATTTTCTGATTAAAAAAAAAAAAAATAATAAAAAAATACAGGGTTTATTTATCCACACTGTCAGGAAGGCATCCCTTACAGAGCTGGACAGTTGAGAGAAGGTTGAGCTGGTTTTTGTTTGTATTTAAAGGAGATGCCTTCTGCTCTGCCCCCCCATTTCCCACCATCCTTAAAACGTTATTTTTTATTGCCTGGCAGAATTCCAGCAATCTACATAGGACATACTACCTTTCAAATTTCTTCAACGTGTTCAGTGCTCTTTCAGTATTCAGAATATTTTCAAAGGTGATGTCCATGAAAATCCTTAATTGATCCTGGAGGAGAGCAAATAATTCTACAGCAGAGAACTACAGAAGGCACACACCTCAAACACGCCTGGTATTATTTTACAGGATTTCTCATGCACTATATTAGAACATTATTTATACAAAACTAACTCAAATAAGTATCAATTTTCCCCTTCTTCCTCCCCTCAAGAATTAAACAAAATACAACCAACTTTCAAGGCATTGTCTTTTTATGTTCCTTCTGAGGCTGTGCAACCAACAAGTTTTTGTACACTCAGATGTTCTGCCATCTTCTACAGATACCCTTTCCTTCCACAAACTTGTGATTTCAGAACTATGAGAAAGGTAATTATCTGACTTATTTGTGCTTTTTGTGTTAAACTTGCCAGCAAACTTCCAAATAAAGTACAGTAATGAAAAATCCTTTCATTTGGGTCCCTCAAGGCCCTTATTGGCTTATTCCATGAAACTGGTCTGAAAGTCAAATAATAAATGCAAACTTTAAAGTGGAGATACATTAGAATAATTTTTCAATTTCAGAATATAAACTTTGAGATTTGCATAATTTGCTTGGTGGTAACCCAGAGGTATTTTTGTTTTCATGAGGATTCATTCATAAATTAAAATATTTGAATCATAAAACATACATGAAGATCATTTATTTCTTTGCAAAACTCTTCATAGTCTTGGTCAAAATCAATATTCCGCTGATCCAAGAAATTGTAATGCCTTTTCTTCATGATGTCAACTGTGCTCTAAACAGTGTCACAGAAAAAGAAAATCACAAAAAAAATTGTCTTATCACAAAGACTTACCACACCAAAATATTTAGCACAGTGTGCTGTGCACATTCTCATTTTACCTTTGCCATTAGTTCCCAGTTATTTACTGAGCAATATAAGCAGATTGCTTACATAACATTTTCAAGTTGGTGCAATGGTCATATGAATTACATTTATATTATTTACTTCTGTTTTAAGTCAATTAGAACTGACAGAAAGTCCAGACTCCTGTTTTCCCTCAAAGACATTTGTTATCCATTAAATATTCTCTTACGTAGTTCAACACAGAATAATATTTTCACATTAGTATCTTCCATCTCCTTAAATTAACTGATTCCATAGAAAAGCAGACTGTTTAAAAGACACAGTAAGAAGCAGCACATCACCAGCCCAGCACTTTTTATTCCAGGATTCTCTTACATAGCTGCTGTCCACTCAAATGAAAGTACATCTTAATCAGCATCACTCTTGAGCTGGACCATTGTTCAACATCCTAGTAGTTTACCACAGTACAGCTACAAAACTCAGTATATTTTCAACACAGCAGACGTCCATCATTTTATTATAAGTCAATGGAATTTCACTTTTATTGCTTTGCTGTAAATAACATTTCCATCTTTTCTTCTAAAAACAAGCAAATCCTAGATAGCAACTAAGCAGTAAACACAAACAACTGCAACATAATAACTTCCTATTGTAAATATTTTTCAAATCATGTGGTCAGTCACATAACTGTAGCTATGGTCCATATCAAATACTTCAGTACTGCTATTTTGTCACTATTAAAAAAGTACAATCACTTTATGCCATTTATGCCTATGGGACCTTCCACATAGTATTTTCTACCAAAGCATGTGTAATTTCCCCTCATCTATGCACTCCTACCCACCAAATGAAATTGATCTCGTAGCAGCATTCCAATACCTGAAGGTAGAGTACAAGGATGCCAGAGCAGGACTCTTCATCAGGGACTGTAGTGATAGGACAAGGGGCAATGAGTTCAGACTGAAATAGGAGAGGTTTAGGTTGGATAATAGGAGGAAATTCTTTCCTGTGAGAGTGGCGAGGCACTGGAAATAGGCTGCCCGTCCCTGGCAGTGTTCAAGGCCAGGTTGGACACAGCCTTGGGTGACATGATCCAGTATGATGTGTCCCTGCCCAAGGCAGAGAGGTTGGAACTAGACGATCTTTAAGGTCTTTTCTAACCCAAACCATTCTATGAGTCTATGAACTAGGTCTCACACAAAGCTCTTATTTTAGAACTTCAGTGCTGTGATGGATAATGCAGTATATCTGCATACAGTTTGCAGACTGCATCACAGCCTGGACCGATGGTCACAGGCAGCTTTTCAAATACAAATGCCTCAAATAAATAAGATGCCAGTGCTGCAGCCTACCGAAATAGTATCTTCGTAGCATGTCCTGAAAATTCTCAACAGCCTGAGCTTTAGAGAGCAGGTCTCAGTGAACAGAGCAAAATTTAGAGCAGCCCACACCTATCCTGCCCATGTGGAATAGTCTTGGACTAAGCTAGCTTTCCATTTGTGCCTAGGTTTCTTCTCAGAAGACTATACAAGAGAACAAAGAAGAAAACTGACTCCTGCAAAGGATGCAGTCAAGGAATCAAAACCGCAGACTGCAACAGGGAGTGAATCAAACCAGGAATGCTCACATTTGACCTGACAGTTATTAAAGTAAAACAAAGTGACTTACTCATGGCCATAACTGAAAGAAAATGGACAGGGTAAAGCAAATTAGAATGCCACAGTTGACTATACTGCCACTGTATCACATGTGATCTCTAAAAAAGTCCACAAACTCTCATACATTGAATACTTGTGATTTATTTTAATATTTACAACAATTATTTTCTGTTATAACATATAATTATCATAATTATAATATTTTTATATTCTACGTAT